TGTTAAATCCCAATATTTTTTTTTTAAATTTAATATATTGAACAAAGTAGAAATTAGGCCTAGTCATGTATAATTTGATTTGAACATTTATTATTTTATCTTATCAATAGTATCGTCCCTTTTTAGTTTGCCAACTTTGACTTTTCCAGTCAAAGATGATAAACTTGGATCCATTATTTTAACTAATATATTTATGTAAAAGTTAATAAATTTATACTTTTATGATAGTATTTTCAATAAAGAACATTTTCATATAATTTTCTTATTATCAATATTACCGTGTATAAATATATATTCGGTCAAAGTTGAACAACTTTGACTTGAAAAATTGTATTTGGCAAACTAAAAAGGGACGGAGGGAGTAATTACTAATAAGAGGAAACGATCTATCTCAGCTGGTCACCAACTCTCTCTCTCATGTGAGGTCTCAGGTTAAATTTTCAATGAAGCAGGTTTGGTCCCGGTTTAGTTCAAACCCCCGGATCTCTTCTCCCGGACCCCTAAAAAAGTACTCCGTACTCAGTGGCGGATAGCGATTAGCGGATATCGGGTTATGTTATCGGGTTGTTAATAGTGGATTCAGTCAGCGGGTGTGACTAACTGAATAAATTGGTGGATTGTCAGAAGATGTTTGGTAATTTAGCGGTTTGGCCTTAAAATTAGTAGAAAACACTGTTTTTCAAAACGCCAACCCAAAGCTCTCCTATTAGCAGCATTTTCATTTCAGCGTTTTCATCCAAAAACGCTAGTGTCGAATCGCTATTTTCCAAACAGTTTTTTCACTTATTGAAAACGTTGAAAGTGGTGAAACCGTCATTTTTCTGCCGAAACGCCATTTCCCAAACACCCCCTGATGGAGTATATGATCCAGGACCCCCTGACCCACATACTCATGCAATCCAGACATTCAGTGGAAGCCCTCGGCAACACCTTGGCCATGATGTCCTCGGTACCTCTTGGCTATGATGCCCTCGGCACCCCTCAGCTATGGTGCTCTCGGCAGTACCCCTCGACTATGAGGTCCTCGGCACCCTTCGGTTATGATGCCCATTGCATGGATGAGTACCATTGCATGGATTTCCAGACCGCCCCCAGTGCCGATGTTCTTGATGACACGGCAGACCCCTTGGTCTCAACGTGATCATCTGTCTCAAGACCGGCCTCATCCCCTCACTTCATGGATGAGGATCGTTGCATGGATTTCAGGATTGACCCCTCAGTGCCGACGTCCTTTCATCACGGCAGACCTCTCGGTCTCAACATGATCATTTATATGATGACACGACAGACCCCTTGGTCTCAACGTGATCATCTGTCTCAAGACCGGCCTCATTCCCTCACTTCATGGATGAGGACCGTTGCATGGATTTCAGAACCGGCCCCTCAGCGCCGACATCCTTGCATCACGACAGACCCCTCGATCTCAACGTGATCATTTATATGATGACGCCGCAGACCCCTTGGTCTCAACGTGATCATTTATATGATGACGCCGCATACCCCTTGGTCTCAACGTGATCATCTGTCTCAAGACCAGTACCATCCTCCCACTTCATGGATGAGGACCGTTGTGTGGATTTTCGGACCGGCGCCCTGACCATCCCCTGGCCCTCATGACAGGGACTTGGTCCTCAGCGTGTGGTCTCTATGCCAGCGCCCACATGAGCAGCGCGTGGCCCTCACGTCAGCGCCCTCATGACCAGCGTGTGGCCCTCACGTCAGCGCCCCTATCTTCAGCGCCTGGACTTCATACCAGTGCCTTCATGCTTAGTGTGTGGTCTTCATGCTCAGGCATGCTTTTAGCATCGTGCCCTCATGCGATTGGGGTTCCCATCCCTCCCTGGATGGTGACCATCGCCTTCATCATTTCAGGTCAGCCGTCATGCTAAAGTCAGCATCTCATGGATGCCTTTAGTGCCACGCCTTCATGCCTTCATTTTGCGATTAGGCTACCATCTCATGGGGACTGTCGCCCTCATGCTTCGTGCGACCATCGCCCCCATCATCATTCTAGTCAGGCCCCTGGCGCCATGCCCTCATTCTCAGATCGGCATCTGGTGTACTCTTTTCCCTCACTAGAATTGTTCCCCGCTGGGTTTTCCTGTAGTGAGGTTTTTTAACGAGGCATCTCCCGCTGGGTCAAGGCCCTCAACATCATCCGTACTATCACATTATGAGGCCTGGAAACTACGGAACTCAGCACGACAACAACTCCTCCAGCCCGAAGCACCTTCGGCCAACATGAGTGGGGGACTATCCTTCAGGCTTTCCTCCATGAAACATGACATAAAAAAAATGGAAACTTCAAAAAAATCAGAATACTCAAGTACTCCTCTTTGCCTCGACTACCTCTCAACAAAAGGAGTGGGGGACTCCTGATGGAGTATATGATCCAGGACCCCCTGGCCCACATACTCATGCAATCCAGACATTTAGTGGAAGCCCTCGGCAGCACCTCGGCCATGATGTCCTCGGTACCCCTTGGCTATGATGCCCTCGGCACCCCTCGGCTATGGTGCCCTCGGTAGTAACCCTCGGCACCCCTCGGCACCCCTCGGCTATGAGGTCCTCGGCACCCTTCAGTTATGATGCCCTCGGCAGTACCCCTTGGCTATGTCATGCCCTTGGCCATATGAAGCCTTCGACCATACATGAAGCCTTCGGCCATACATGAAGCCTTCGACCAAACATGAAGCCTTCGGCCATACATGAAGCCTTCGGCCATACATGAAGCCTTCGGCCATACATGAAGCCTTCGGCCATATGATCCAGGCCGAAAGGTCTACGCTCTACGAAGATTCAATGCGGCGTCATGTCCAACCACCGCATTTAATGCAGTGCACATGCATATGCCGGTGCCACCCCCGATTGAGGTGACCCTTCAACCGTTAGATTGTTGACACATATACTCTCATCGCATTTATGGCTGCTATAAATAACAACCCTTATTCCTCTTGTAAAGGATCCCAGATCAGATTTCATTAATATATTTGACTCTCTCTCTCTCTCTTACTTGTTTGTTCTGACTTCTCTCTAGGTTATTCTCATAATAACCCCTCGTAAGCTACCCCGGGTACACTATCCATCACCCCCAATATGATAAACAAAATGCATCATCTTGAAAGGGAAATAACATGGTAACAACCCTTTTGAAGGTAACTGCGGCGGCGTACCTCGCCTTGAACATTAGGACGAAAATCGACAATTTTTTCCCTCAATCTATAATCAACTTCCAAAGATTCAAAATAAACATGTTGTTTATGTAGATTATATGTCAAATTAGTTTGAATTTCAACAATTACTTGATCCAATTCTTCATTTATTAATGACAAATTATTTGAATTAACATATGAACTCACATGGTAATCTGATTTTTTTAAATCTGGGTACACTATCGAAACATATTTTCATCCTAAATCGTAAAATGTTGAAAAAAACATTCATAAATACACAAATTTATTTAATGATTTAATCTTAACATCCAAAAAAGTTCAATAATTAATCCCAAAAAATGAAGTATGCAAAGGATATACAATAGAATATGGGAATTGAAAAAGCAGTAAAAGAAAAAAATGAATTATGGAAAGTTTTAAAAACATTACGGAGCGGAGGGAGAGTCAAACCCTGGACCTCAGCAAGAGGAAGCACTTAGCATTACCACTAATCCCACTCTGCTGCACAAGTCTTCTACTTCGTATTTTATTGTAGCTTTCCTTGTATATATACTACTCCCTCTCTCCCAATTTGATGGTCTCATTTCTTTTGGGCACAAATTTTAATAAAGTGGTTGAAAAGGTAAAAGTTGTAGTTGAGATTTGAGTAGAAAAAGGTGAAATGATGAAGACCACATCTTTCTTTCCAAAAAGGGAAACATGACCATCATTTTGGGACATCCCAAAAAGGAAATACGGGACCATCATTTTGGGACGTAGGGATTATCATTAATTAATTTTTATTTAAAATAAGTATGGGAACTCTTCCGGTAAGGTATACCTTACCGGAGCCTCCGTGCGGCCTCCATGTTTTGAGGGCCTTCCCGATGGAATTTTCCGATGAAATGTTTTGAGCATGTTATTCATCAAGTCTAGTACATCCATACCAAATTGCAGCAAAAATTTAATCGGGAAGGCAGTCAAATGATTTTTGGAAGATAACTGCACCCTTTATATACATATAAAACGCAGTTTTCTTCCAAAAATCATTTGACTGCCTTTCCGATTTAATGTTTTGCTGAAATTTGGTATGGATGTACTAGACTTGATGAAGAACATGCTCAAAAAATTTCATCAAAAAATTCCACCGGGAAGACCCTCAAAACGTGGAGGCCGCACGGAAGCTCCGGTAAGGTATACCTTACCGGAAGATTTTCCAAATAAGTATAAATACTCCATCCGTCCCGAAAATGTTGGCCAAAGTTGATTTTCACGTGGATTAATAAAGTAAAAATTGCGTGGTTGAAATTTGTGCAGAGGAGAGAGAATTAATTTTAGCCACATATTTTTTACTTTAAATAGAAATGACAAATCTTTTTGAGACATCCAAAAAAGGAAATTTGACCAACCTTTTCGGGACGGAGGGAGTATATAGGTATGTATTTGGAAATGCATGAGGTCCCGGGACCCGTGGGACCCTTAGTGGGTCCGCCACTATCTGTACTATTAATTGCTAATAAAAATCTAAAATACGTTTCCAGACTTTGTCTATTCCTACCTTGACTCTTGAGCTAGATGATCACGCCTCAAGCTTTTGAATTTTGAAATACTGATTTGTGCCCAATGAGACCAACTAATTACTGAGTTGTCATAAAATCCAATTATTAATTTCGTGCATTTATGATGTTATTATATCCGTTTTATTTTCCGTTATAACGTTCACCCGCCAAAAGATGTCACTGTAAATTTTTGACCTATGAATTAACCCCACATTTTGACCGGATTAATTTTCTGATAAACTCATGGTATAAATTAATTAGTGTATAAAGATTAAAGAATATGAATACTGCAAGAAGTCAGCATAGCGTTTTACTCGGTTGAGAGAAACGTGCCAGAGAGTCAAGTCCAATCTCACGCGCTTACGCCACGGAGAGACGAAACCGGCGCGACTCGAAATATGAGCGGCAGCGAAGGCGGCTCAGACCATTCCGCCACCGGGAGCGGAGGAGAAGCGGCAACGACTGAGAAAAAGAAGGACAAGTCCAGAGTTAGCCGCACGTCGCTTATATTATGGCACGCCCACCAGAACGATGTGGTCTCCGTGAAGAAGCTACTGGAAGAAGACAAGACGCTGGTGCAAGCTAGCGATTACGATAACCGGACTCCGCTCCATGTCGCTGCTCTCCACGGTTTGGTCGATGTTGCCAAGTGCTTGATAGAGTACGGAGCCGACGTCAATGCTCAAGATCGATGGAAAAATACAGTACGATTCCTTGCTCATGATGCTAATTTGGGTGTGTTCTGTTTTCTTGCGATTTTTCTAAAAGTGACCACGGTATAATTCTTTGCTTATGATGCTAATTTGGAGAGTTTTCTGCTTTCTTGCGATCTTTTAAAAGAAACTGCAAGAATGTAATACATCAGATATTTAAATTTCTTCTGCCTCTGTAATCATCTTGATTGTGGCCAAATCAGTTGTTGAAATGTGTGGTTCTCACAAATGGCCGTCTCCTCATAGTCTCATTGGAACAAAAAATCGACCAGGGCTTTCCACCTTCATTTCATTTTATTAAAGTTATCTTTATTGACACAGAAACTAGGTGGTAGTATTTTCACAACCCCTAGAAGAGAATGTGTTATAATCTCGGTTTGGGCGTAGTTGCTTGATAAGAAGATGTTACATTCTTTAAGCTTAACCAGTAAATTACACTATTCTGGTTTGGATATTTTGTAATAATTTGTACTTGGAGAGTGTTTTATTGAATAGTGTAATTGAACACATATCTCATATTCTCATTTAGATGTGCATATGTTTGTGCTTTGCATATCTTTCATATCATCACATACTTAGAAGTTTGGTTATCTGATAGGCATTTATGATTACAGCCTTTAGCTGATGCTGAAGGAGCAAATAAAAGCAACATGATTGAATTATTGAAGTCATATGGCGGTCTGTCGTATGTAAGTTCTTTCTTAGAGTAGATCTCACTTAATCTTATCATTATTCAGTTAGTAATCAATATGGGCATGTTCTACATAGGAGTCAATTATTGATATTACGTTATTTTTTGATTTCTTTTTAAGTTTAAAGTGCATTTGAAATTGAAATGAAAGTTGGTTCAGTAAACAACTTTACAGTCTTGTACAGTCTTCAGATTGTACACAGTTATACAGGTCTCTGTAGAAATGGGTTTCTCATGGTGTCCATCTCTTTTGTATTTTTGATTCAATCCTTCTCTCATACTTATGTTGTTTTTAATCACTCTAAGTTTTGTGGTAATTTTGTAGGGGCAAACTGGAAGTCACTTTGAACCAAAGGCTGTGCCCCCACCTCTGCCAAATAAGTGTGACTGGGAAGTTGATCCTACTGAATTGGACTTATCAAACTCATCGATTATTGGAAAGGTATCGTTAAGCTACTTAAATGCAAAGACAATGTTAATGCATTACTGATGTTTCTATTTCTTTAGCTTTTCTTTCTAGATGACTTGCTAGCTTCTACTGTCCCATACAACTGTCCTTAATAAATTATGTGTTCATGGGGTTGTTCCTCCAAATGGCTTGCGCCTTTATATCCAGCATTTTACCAAGGATGCTGACAATTTTTCTTTTAAAACTCTAGCTGTATGTTAGTTCTGTATCCATCTGCAAACTTTTTCTTCCTCTCATAGTTATTTATACTAACAGGGCTCCTTTGGTGAGATACTTAGAGCTTCTTGGCGTGGAACGCCTGTTGCTATCAAACGCATCCTACCAAATCTTTCTGATGACCGCTTGGTGATGTAAGCACTAAGCAACTATGATTTTTTTAAGACTCTAGAGTCAACTCAGTTCTCTACTCTTTGTTCTAGCAGTGTAAAACCATACATTTAATTCTCTCAGACTGCATTTGTTTTCCATTTTCTTGATGGGGGATTTTTTTCTTAGCATGTTAGTGTTGGTTTGTAGATTAAGATCTGAATTATTTGTTTGAGTATTGTAAAACATATATTTCTTGCTTTTAGATTTTGCATTTTTTCTCAATTTGTGTGATTGCTGAGTGTCTTTGGCATGTAGGTGCTGGTTTATACATAATTTTTCATGTAGCGTTACCTGAAATGAATGCTCATAATATTATGCCCACTCCCAGTCTTAGTATTACATCATTTCTATAATCCTATGGATAATAGAAAATTATGTTTACTTGTTAAATCCGTATACAGTCAGGATTTCCGGCATGAGGTAAATTTGTTGGTGAAGCTTCGACATCCAAATATAGTGCAATTTCTTGGAGCTGTTACAGAAAAAAAGCCCTTGATGTTAATTACTGAATATCTAAGGGGGGTACGTAGTTTACATCATTTTCCTTCTTGCTTGGGTAAAATGTTCACATATCCCCAGTTCCCCACAAATGTCTGGATTTTCTGTGCTGAATAACTTGCTTTATATGTTGCCACAGGGTGATCTTCATCAGTATCTGAAGGAAAAGGGTGCACTCAGTCCTTTAACAGCCATCAATTTGGCAATGGACATCGCTAGGTCATTTAAACTCAAATCTCAATATAATATCCCTTTTTAATAACTTGATTTGCGTATTCACCATCAGCAGCTTACTAACCATTATTCTATTTTCATGTTGGCAGGGGTATGGCGTATCTTCATAATGAGCCAAATGTTATTGTTCACAGGGATTTAAAACCAAGGCAAGTTGATAATTTACCCAACTTTATGAATGGATTAGCAGGACTTATCCACAGAAATTGAAGCTTGTATGTGTAACTTTGTTTTAGAGAAAAGAAGTGTTTTTGGTCCTTCACTTCATTCAGATTTAGCAATTTTAGTCCACCGTGCAAAAGTTGCCCTTTGTATTGCAAAAGGGTTGTGGATTTTGGTCTTTTGATGGTTGATTTTTTAACAAAAAGTGTTTGGATGCATGAGCACATAGGTTTTGAAAGGGAATGAAACGAGTTTTATTAATATATGTGCACATTTTCAAATGAGAACCCCAACTTGACACTCTATTAAAGTGTCATCCATGGTTGCAAGTTGCAACCATTTCACAAAGGCAGGTCTGTGTGACAATGAGAGACCAAAAGCAGATTCTTCTCATTTGTTGCTAATATTTTAATCTTAATTGTCCTTCCAGGAACGTGCTTCTGGTTAACTCGAGTGCAGATCATCTGAAAGTTGGAGATTTTGGATTAAGCAAGCTCATAAAGGTTCAGAATTCTCATGATGTCTATAAAATGACAGGAGAAACTGGGAGCTGTAAGTTGTTTTCTGTCTACTAACATGGCTGGCTGGCTGAGGGTGTATGAGACCTTTTAATTAATGTTCTCTGTTATTATCATCTATTTTTTGAAGATCGCTATATGGCCCCTGAAGTTTTCAAGCACCGGAGATATGACAAGAAGGTCGATGTTTACTCCTTTGCAATGATACTATATGAGGTAATTATGCTTTTTCTCACCTCAGATAATCAAAAGCATACAAATAGTAACCTCATTAATGAATTGAGTTGTGGAATTGGATCATCAGATGTTAGAAGGTGATCCGCCATTGTCAGGCCATGCACCATACGACGCTGCTAAATATGCAGCTGAAGGGCACCGGCCCATATTTAGGGGAAAAGGAATTACACCCGAGCTGAAAGAGTAAGTCATTTCAATTAATAGCACAAGTTGAACCTTAAAAACCGATGTTGTCTGTCTTGATTTGCATGGGGTTCTAAATCATTCGTATATTTGTTATGGTTGGAACCAAATAATGCATGCAGGTTGGTAGAGCAGTGCTGGGCAGCAGACATGAATCAGAGACCATCTTTCCTGGAGATTCTGAAACGACTTGAAAAAATAAAAGGAAATCTGCCATCAGATCATCATTGGAGCATCTTTTCTTCATGACGACAACCCAGCTAAGATTTCTCACCAAGATATAAGAGTTTTGTCTTCAGGCAATCTCAGGAGTTCAATTCAATTGTGCATAACTACAAATTGTTTAGACAACTGCTGAAAGTTTGGGAAAAGTTATCCCAATTCAATCTTTCCTGCTTATGCTTTGAGTAAAGATTTCCAGTACTCCATCCACTCCCATCTCATTTTTTTTTTGTTTTTTATTGTTTTTGTTTTTGTTTTTGTGTTTATCATTAATTTTTTTAGATACAATTAGAAAGTAGTATTTGTGAGAAAAAAACCTATAATAATAGCAATAATATACAATGTATGTAGACTGTAGTGAGTATATGTGAATTACATGGGTATGGATCAAAAAATGACTTGTATTGTACATCCTACAAAACAAAAAATAAGATTAGATAAGCTTCTTCTTTTCGAAAAAGGTTTTCAAGTACCACATTTGGATTCCAGACACAGAGAGGCATATCAATAGTGAGACAGCGCTCAGCCACCCCATCTGGGAGTCGGTTGTTCGGTTAAGCTCCTGCATTTCTTCTTCTCTGCATGCAATAGTAACAATGATACACACAACATACATAAAATGTATTCTTAGAGAAGGTTTGGATATAGAAAGATTATCAAAATGAGATCCAACATATTGAGCCAATACATCGTTGTTATAAATTTATAATTATAAATGGATCAAGTCTGGATGTTGACATACTTACCTTTCACGTAGATAAAACATCTCGCTGTGGATGGAGTTGACAGTTTCATACATTCTCTTCAACTCCAATTCCATTGCCTGGGGGAGTAAAGCAAAGCATGAAATATGAAATCTGTCTGAATCAATGAACACGCCACGGGATGTGGTGTTTCTGGTTGGCCAAGCGGCCCAAGCAGGCATATAATGATGCTTTGTATTACACATAAATTTCCCAACTGTTGGAGGTTATAATGGAATCACTTAGAGTTGGTTTGCAACTCCTTTTAAAAAAATACTTCTCAGCTTTTGGCTTTGAAAAAGCACTTATTTTCCCAAACACTACAACTTTTATTTTTCTCGGCTTCCGCGTCAAAAATGCTTTTACTTTTTCTATTACACAAAAAGTACTTATTTTACCAAACAATACCCACTTTTACTTTTCAAAATCACTTTTTCTCAAACACTATCAACTTTTAATTAATCACTTCTCTCCATTTCATTCAAAAAAGCATTTTTTTATTGTACTCAAACTCACCATCTGAGAAATTACATAGATTTTGAATCACAGTTTCTAAAGTTGTTAAATGGTTGTTCTATTCTTCCCACAATTGTCGACTGCTATCATTAAAGTTTCTTGAAATATAAAAAAGTGATGGGTGTTCAAGTGATATTAAAACATGTTTGATAAGTTTCATTAAAACATGTTTGATAAGTTTCTAACATTTGTAACAAAAATTAAAAGCATTAGTCTAGTTAAATTGTCTAATTAAATCTTCATTTAATTTCCTGGGCAAAACCGGTTACAACGAAATAACTTTCCTTAGCCTCTTGTTTACTTGTTAAATTCCCTGCCATTTTGTTGGATGAGGATCCAAACATGCCCTTAAGGCCTGGTTGGAAGTCGGATAATGCTACGGAACAGAGAGAGAAGGGAAGATATAGGAAAATTAGATGGAACTGAAATTTGAGCGGAGAGAAAAGAAAAAAATCAAAGTCAAAAATCATTTTAGATATTTGTTTCCACATTTTATTTATATTTTTGCTATGCAAAATATGAAAATTGAAAATACTACGTATACATTAAGAGGTCGTTTGGCAACACTGTTTTTCGGCTTATCAGGCTTATCAGCCAACTTTTTAAACAAACACGTAATTTTTGCTTTCGAGCGCTGAATTGTGTAATAAGCAGAAAAAGTAAGGTTGAAGTTACTTTTCTGGCTGTATTGGCTGAAGTTACTGTAGATGATCATTTTAACTATTTTTACATATATTTTTTTCTTTATTTTATTAATAAAATATATTTTAAAAATAATTTTTTCCTAAATCAGAAGAAACAGCCAATACAGTCACTTCAACCAGAACTTCATAAATTTCAGCAGAATCAGCCAAAACAACCAATTTCCGTGCTACCAAACGGGCTCTAAATATTTGGAAATGTATTTTTAACTTTTATTTTTCTTCAAACTGTACAAAGTAAAACAAACATAGGGGAAGCCACTTCGCTAATTCGCTTAGCTTCTTTTTTTTCCTTACGCCCAAGTCCCAATCATTTCCCCACATTCCAGTTTCCAAATGTAGCCTAAGAAGCAATATCTAAAATTTTAGATGTTGTCTAAGCGTTACAAATAAACTAGTTAAAGGGCAAAACTGCAAAAGCTAGTGATTTGCATGGATGAGTGTGTGTTACATTCACTAACATAACTCATAACTTGAGATCAGCAAAAATGTTTACTTACACACAGAGATGGACAAAAGAGATGGTTCATGAACTTTGTAAAAACAATTGGATCATAGAACCCTTATTCACTTCTCATTAAGAAGTGAATAAGGGTTACTTCAATAAAGGTGAGAAAGCTTACTTCAATGGAGCCTTTCTTAGCAAGACTAGTCCAATCCTTGGTGGAGACGCCTGATTTCCAATCAAAGTCAACGGTCAATGTAGCAGAGGGCAGGTGGTCAACGGCAAAGAAACAAGCCATGTAATCCCCAGCTTCCGCCGTGTGATATGCAAAGTTGCCTTCTGTCACTTGGTTTCCATAGTGATAGTTATTTCCATGTGGAGATGTCACCTATACCCACCACCACAACAACAAAAAAGAACCATTCAAGCCTCTAATTAATGAAAGAAAGGAAAAATCATTCTTCAATTCTTTCTGTGCTTTCGTTTACTTATATTTTTTCAATTATAATAATGAAATGATTTTCTGAAGTTTTTTCATGAACTATTTGTTTACTTTAATCTTCAAGTTCTTTGTTTACCTCAACTTCAGACTATAAGGACCGCATTTAACAAACATCACATGAAACTAGTTTTAGATAAGGGGTAATAGCTCAAATAGGAGTAAAATGATTTCAAAATACAACAATAAGCCTATCCCTTTTTTATTTTCTAAATAAGAGTAATTTATGTTTCATCATCTTATAAACGAAGAATTCAATTTCGAGGACATATCCAACTACAAGGGGAGCTTCCATATACTTAGGAGTGACATTCCTTCCAACCACCATTGAAGCTTCCTCCCACCTTCATACTACCTTATTTTGGTATTATAAATAGAGAAGCTTGAAGAGTCTTTCTATCATCAAGTGAATTAAATCATAGATCATCATAACACAACCAAGTAGAGTTGTGAATATCCTTGAGAGATATGTGAGACGTTTTTTGAGAGTTTTTAGTTAGAGCTTGTATGTATTTTTTTTTTTATTCTTGAAAGTGTTAGAAATATTTTTCTCTCATATTAGCGCAATCCTGTAATTCCCAACATAAAACCCAATATGATTTATTTTATTAAAAAACGTTATTTAATTTATAGTAAACCATAAAAATAATATAAATATTTATAAATTTATAATAGATACAAAAATAGAATAATTAAAATATGTAAGAATAAAAAAACCTAAAATAAATAAATAAAAAACATAAAAACATAAAAAACATGTAGTCCTCTGCCACCTCCCGACTGCCAACTTCGACTGCCGAAAAAATGTCATCTTGTATAAAAATGTCACCTTTATCTTGAAATAATGACATTATCACCATTAAGATGACATTATTTTTTACGGTTGGCGTTTTCAATACGATTGGAGGTGGCGGTGCTGGAATGTGGTTGTGGTGGCGACAAAATTTCTTCAAATAGTTTTTTCATTTGAAAAAATAAAATTTTCAAATAAATTTCTATACAAAATTTTAAAACCCAAAAAATGCTAAGATTTATAGTTTATACCAAATTTGGAATGGGACACGCTATTGAAGAATATGCATGAATCCATATATGCAAATCTTTTTCTTTCATCATTTCAAATAAATGCAGGAATACATTGATTAGGAAAAATGAAATTGGAGATATTTAAAGGAAAGAAATAACCAACCCGAACGGTGAGTTTATGAGAGTCAGGCAAAGGGAGGGCATCGTCGGGGTTGACAATGTAATACTTGCCGACGGACATGACGCTGCTCTTTATATCCTCCGCTATGCATTTGGTGTGACCTGATACCACATCGAAACGGAGGGACTCGATCTGGGTCTGGAACAGGGCCAATATCATCACAAATACATAAACGGTGAAATTTTCCGGACCCATCTCGAGTTTTTATTATATTTATTTATTTACAAGATGAGAAATTTCTCCCGGTCTTCTGCTAGAATTTTTCCCAGGAGAAATGAATGAGAATGTGGGGTGATTATCCAGGGAGGATTTAAATACATTTACTCTTGAGGGACTGTACTACTGTACCAAACGTGACCGGTAAAAGAGGCATTCCCCATTCCACATTTTTAGATTAGTTTTGGTACTCCCATTCAGGGATGGCATGCATATTTTTTTTGTTTATAATCCCCAACAAGATTAAATTTCACAATTTTTACTTTTTATTTCTCAAATAATTTAAAGTTGGTAATTTCCAATTACGAAATTAATATTTGATTTTGAATACGGTATTATTTAAATATTTGAATCCCAAAACGTTTAAGTGTCGATCAAGTTCTACCTTAACAAAATGTAGAGAAAATTGAGAAAGCAATTAAAAACATAAACATGGTTTAAAATTGTGACACTTTATTAGTTTTGCTGATTCTTCGATTAAACCGGTTCCTTCAGATCATTCGATTTTTTAAACGCAAAACTGAAGTGAATTTAGCACTTTTAGTTCGCAGTTTTGTTATTTTTGACGATTTTAGTCACTTTTTCCTGACTCATTCTCTTCATGATCGAGCTAAACTTGTGAAAATATAAGTGTTGATTGTAGTAATAAGTACCGGTAAATACCGGGACAGTCTGTAGACAAACATTTATAATTATAAAGTTCGAGATATTAGTTCAAAATATACAAATGCTATGAAACATTGAAACCTCGTTCATTATTGATTAAATCTAGAATTACGAATAAGAATAAGAATAACAACTGTCAAGACATCAAAATTCACCTACACTTTTTACTACAGTTTAGGGGTGTTTGGATCTGATTCTCAAAACTGATTCTGCTCCTTCAGGAAGCAGAAGCAGAAACTGGAGGTAGTATAAGGGAAAATAATACTCCCTCCGTCCCTATATAAGGGAAAAGTCATTATTAATTTATATAATTTGAAAAGGGAATATAAAATCCACATTTGACCTACTATCATTATTTATTTTTGGCATTGTATCTAGGTAGAGAACGGGTTGGATCCATTTTTAGAGGAAAAAATATTTTAAAACAGATAAAATAAAATGCAAGAGGGAAAGAGGTGGTAAATTTCAAAGTGACTAAACATATCCTTCATTGGTGACTATTTATAGAGAAAAAAATCTAAATTTTTGGTATAATTTTGTTTTACAATAAATTAAATTTAATCAATAATAAATGAAATTAGAGAGTTTGGGGATGTTTGATGAGGTTGGTGGCTTCATTCTAAATAAAAAGGCACATGGTCTCCTTTAATTGGTTAGTCACATGTCTTCTCTAAATTTTTGTCAGATGTCATTTTTGAGCTTCCATGTTGATCAATCACTCGATTGAGCTCCCATAGTGGGGATCAAGTGGGATCAATTTTTTTTAATCCTCAATTGACCCCCCACTGCTGATAACACAAATCATTTATACGGAGTATGCCCAAAATTGTCCATGCAGTGCAAAAAGAGGTGCGCTTAGTAAGAACGGAGGTGCGAAGAGATGCTCCTGAGTAATAAGCCCTAAAGTACCCGCTCCATCCTTGCATCTGAGCCCCATCCTCGGATCTGTGAGCTTCATCCTCATTGCAATCCTTGCATTGTCGTAACCAAGAGCCGTTGCGGCATTTGCGATAGGATAGGCTGTCGCCACCAAATAACCAGAAGTCGTCACCGCCTGTTGAAGCACACAGAGGCGGAGCCGGGACACTGGGCGTGAATGGGCCGATGCAAAGAATATTTTTGGAATTTTTTTTGCCCGGAATTTCTTACACTAAAAATAAAAGCATTTTTTAAATTTGGGCTGGGCCAGGATCAAGGTTGGCCCACCCCTATCTCCGCCCCTGAATGCACACTAGACATCACCTCCGCCTTCTGTCACCTCCCCCTCCGCCTGTTGCGGCTTTTGTTCTTCCTCTTTAGTTTTGTTGGATGTAAGGTCAAGGCGATGACAACGAATACTCGAAGAGGTCCTCAAGCGAAGAAGATGGCCGGCTATGACTTTCGATCGGCAACGGCTATGATTTGGGCCGTTGTGGCCAGTGGGATTGAGGCTAGGGTCTGGATGGGAAAGGACATGACAAAGGTCGTGGGTAGTGACGACGACACGACATATAAGGTTTCCAGGCAACGCCAATTGGATCTTTTTTTGGAGGCTAGAGTTCGCAGGGTAGGTTACAACCGACGGGTTGTGTGGTTAGGCAGGTGTGGCGGCGTAGAGGCGGGTGAACCGTGGTGGGCAGTGACACGCTGACGTGGGGTGGGTTTTGTCGTGACTGGTAAGTGATAAGGGCGGCAACAAGTTCGCGGGGCATGAGTGCCTATGTTTGGGACAACAGCTTCTCGGCTTCCAGTGATTCATGGTTGCCAGTGCCCAGCGGTAGGCTTGGTCGGGTTGGGGTAGGAGCGGACTGAAATGGGGCTAGGGAGGGATAGGGACAAGAGGCTGTTATTGAAAGGGAGGCGACCTGCCTGGGAGGTCATTGTGTTGCAAAAAAGTCAGCAGAAAATTTTCTAACGATCACAATTAGATATTTCACGACGACAGTGACATCCGAAATTGACATGAAATTCTGACAATAACAACTCTTAGTGACATGAAAAAATCACAGTGACATCACATTTTTCAAATATATGACCATGTTATTCACATTTTTGTTAATATTAAAAAGTAGTGATATTTTTGAAAATTGGTTTCAATTTAGTACTCCCTCTGTCCCTAATTGTAAGACATTTTGCGGATTACGATGTTTGACCGATGATAAAGCAAACGGATCCCTGTCCGCACTCAAATTATTTTTAGAAAAAATAATTACATATTCATAAATTACATTATAAGCTTTACAAAGTCGCAAAAACAGGAATCAAATTTGATAAAAAATTGATTTATAAAGAGATTAAAAGTGATTTGTGTTGACCAAGTGAATATGAAAAAAATCTTACAAAATGAGAGTGAGAGAGTAATATTTAGGGAAAACCTCCAAAATTATGTAGCAAATTTGATAATGTCATTACCTAATTAATTTTTTTGTGAAGTACTACGTAATTCATATTTAACGTTTTCATTATTTTTTGTCTATTCATTGAAATGGAAAAAATATAAAAATATTAACAATACCCTATTTGATTTAGATATATTATCACTAAAAATTAGTTTATTATAAAATAATTATCATAAAATACGTTTAAATATATGGACTTATACTTACTACATTCTTTTTTACCTCTTTATTACTTATAAATATTTCATTATTATCAATATGTTTTTGTTATTGTAAGAGATATTTAATATATTTTGAACAGAATTACATTAAATATTAGTATGAAGTTTATGATGACTATTTTTGACTTAGTGAAATTTTATTATTTGATGTCTCTTGTTAATTCAATTGAATGAAATACTATTTTATGATAAAATTATTATTACTTCGTGTTGGAATATAATTCCACCAAGAAAGCTTAATCTATTCCTTGATCGCCGGAAAAAGTTATAAGAGTATTATTAGTCGGGAAAGGCCCCCCCTAAACTGAAATACAACTTGCCTTTTATAGGCGTATACAAATTATAACCGCTATCGATAATAATGACTAATTAATTACAACATTAATACGGAATTAAATACATAATTAAACAGCGCATTAATTGCTTGACCGTTACTTTTCCTGGCTGGCAGGTCGGCCGGACTGGCAGGCTCCCCGTTGGGGTGGTAGGCAGGCTCCAGGTTGTGGATCTGGATCCACGGGTCCAAGTTCGGGGCTTGGGCCGATTAAGCTCTGGGCCTAGTCTCATAACTCCATCACGAGTCCCCCACTCCCTTAGTCGAGTAGTAGACTCGGCTAAGAGGGAGTAGTCCAAATCAGCTGCCCTTCTCCGAGACTGGAAGATCTCTGCCTTTGTCCATGTTGGAGAGATGCCTCATTAAAAACCTTCATTAAGAAAAAACCCGATGGGAAAAAATCCTAACGAAGGAAAAAAGAGTACACCTGATGCCCCCAATATGAAGCAAAGGGTGAAATCTTTAGCCTTTATTGCAATGGTCACCATCAGCGAAGCGGATGGCTAGAACCGTTCTTCTCATCGGGCTCGGACTCATCAGGCTCGTCTTCGTTCACTCGTACCTACACATAAAATCAACAAATGTAGAATAGAGCATCTGACCCGGTGCTGAACCACGACTCAGTGAGTAAGTGAGTCAGACTCACTACTCGAAAAGAGTGACATCAAGTTCCCAAGTTAGGCCTCAACCCAGTCTCCGAAATGGAAGATTGAATCCGCGAGTAAGTGACTCGGAGTCACCATTCGAACGGATAATCCAACCCCACAGAACTAAAGTATATCAACCTTTTCGGGAAATGTGAATGTCAATTAAGTGACAAAATTGCTCAAAGGAGCGTGGCTCTAGGCCCCTAACAAGAGTTTAACTCAGCACCCGAGGTTAATAGTTCGAACCCGCAAGTGAAGACTTTTGGACGGGCGACACGTCCCCCGAGGTCGGAGTGCGATGCACTAGAAAGGGGTAAGAGCACGCGAGAACTCATATGAAATCAAGAGTGTGCAGTATTAACATTTATATTGGAGCTTATTAATCGCCACACCCATATGACATGATCCGGTGGCGCGAGTGTGTGTGCTCAGCCATTGTACGAGTGTGTGTGCTCGTCCGGTGTACGTGAGTGATCGGATTTCATAAGTCCGTTTTTCAATGTTAAAATTACACACATTTGAAAAGAGTAAAAGCAATTATACCACTTAATTTATCTTTTCAAGTGTTTCAGCTTATGATTTTTTTTTTGTAATACTTTTATCAAATTTATGAATTGCCAATTAGAGAGTACTTAACTTCTGAATGCTCTTTGATTCGGAGGGTGCCTTGACCATACAGAGCTCAAAGGTGGATTGCCAAACTGAGTTCAAATTTCTGAATTGGTCAAATTTCCCAATTGACACAAAGGGTATGTTTGGCAAATGGCTTATCAGCCAGCTTTTAGCTTGTTTGACCCA